GCCACTCTTGGATGTCCCCATCTGCTGTGTGACAGGGGAGCAGCAGCTGCTCCTTGGCTGCACTCTGGACCCCGGTGATGCCCTGCTGCACATGAGGGCAGCTCCAAGGCAGGAGGGAGGGCAGGGCTCCCCTCACCCTGCTGAGGAAGATGATGCAGCCCTGTTCAGGCTTCAACAGCAGTGGCTTTTCCCTAAACAGAGAACCCTGAGCACAGCTGGCCAGTTTTAGTCAAGGCCAAGAGTCACAGAGTGGATGTGGGAAACATGGATCCAAGTCCCTCTTCAGATTTAATTAATACAGATCTGAGCCCAGCTTCCCTCCCCTTCCCCAAGACTGCTCTGGGTATTGTGGAGAGTTACCCAGCAGCCCAAATGATGTTTTTCAGCACTGCATCCATACACATGTACTGCAGTGGGAAGCAGGAACTTGCTCCATGGCAAACACCCAGCCCCTTGCTGCAGAGCAGCCCTCGCTGCTCCTTTCTTGCTGGAAGTGTTACTGTTTGGGATGGGAGAGTTGTGAAACCACATCTGCAGCATGGCTGGGAGAGACCTCGTGAGCTGATGTAAAATCCAGTGGCCTGGACAGACTTGGAGAGTGTTATAAATGAAAATTTGTCCAGCCAAATTAATATGAAAAATAAAATATTTATTTTGCAATGAAATTCTATCTAGCCAGCCACAAGGAAAGAACAGAGCCGAGCCCGGGGTCGGCCCTGGGTGTGCAACAAGGAGTCAGCCTCAGCAGAGGTTTCCCTCCATGCCCACACACCTCCAGCCTGGCACAAGCGGTTTTTATAGGGAAAATTCTGCCTGAGGCCAAGATTTCAGCAATCAGTCTTTTTTTCTATTCAGAGTCCATATGTTAATAAGATTTTCTTTTTTGGTGATGAGGGAGAACAATTCAGTGTCTGGAGTTTGTTGAATCCCTTGATGAAATTTACGGGAATTCGGGAACGCTGTATTCACATGTATCTGCCTGAGGATTTCCATGATATCCATCTCGGGTTGTTCATGCGATGATCAGCGCCTGGGGTCCCGTATCTCCCCAGCCATGGCCCATCTCCAGGCCAGCCGTACCTTCTTACTTGTAAATCAGTTTCCAATATACACCCGGTCCCGCCTGCGAGGGTGGGGGTGGGGGGGGAATCCTAATACAAACATGTATACTCTAACAAATATTCAATATCACATATATCATATTAGAAATGGTGCAAATTATATCTACTACACATAACAGAGAGGATCCCTGTCCTGCTTTTACCACGCAGTGGGAGGATTTGGCCTCGATGGAGCTCCACGCCATGCCCAGGGCTCCTTGTCCGCTTTGTGTGGGGTCTGTGTGGTGTCTTACAGGGCTGCTGGCAGAGCTTTGGGCTGCCAGGTGAGTGCACTGGCCCGTGGTTTGCTGTGCACTGCATCTGCTTCAGGCTGCCTACCCTAGAGTGTGCTGTTCCCTTTCAGAAATGCTCCTGCTGCAGCTGCAGCTCCTGCAGCATGGCTTGGCCACCAGGCAGCACTGGGGCTGGGGCTGAGATCTGGTGCCCAGCTTGACCCTCTCTTCTTCCTGCTGTTTTATTGGCTTTAATTCATCCCTTTCCACACAGGTAAGTGGCTTTTTGGTGGCAATTTCTTGCCAAGTGCTGCTGCTGCCGCCTTTTCTCGTCCACAGCCCAGGTGGTGAAGATTCCTCCTGCAGGATTGCTCCTGCAGGCAGGCTGCTGTGCCCTTGGGCTGGCTTTGGGCATGGTGACATGCTCTCAGTCCACAGTGAGGAACCTGTCCCCACTCAGAGCACTCTGTGATGGCAGCCCGTGTGTGTGTGTGTGTGAGTGCAGCAGGGACACGGCTCGGGTGAGATGGTGCTCTCAGCTTGAGGCCCTCCTTGCTGAGGATGCACAGGGAGGACCTCGTGGGGAGAACCACAGCAGCTCTTCTGTCCAAGGAGTGTCTTGAAGTGGTGTTGGTCTTCTGCAGGGGTGGGACCAGGGGGAGGCAGGCTGGCAAGGACACGGCACAGCACCCTGAGGGGGCTGAGCCTGATGTGAGGGAGCTCTGGAACTTAATGCCTGAGCAAAGTTTGGTGTCCTCAGTCTACACAAAAATGAAACCCCTGCCTGCAGATGGAAATCTGTCCTCTCTTCTGAGCAAGGGAAAGCTCTTCAGCTCCTTGCTCCCAAAGCCTTGGCTGGCTGCTCAGCTGCTTCTGTGTCTCCTGTGAGCAGCCACATCACGCGGGTACCAAGTGCTATTTCTGGTGGCGGTGCAGGCTGTGCTGCAGCTGCAAACCCCAGCACGGCCACACTGGTCCATCCTCTGTGCTCACAGCTCTGTGATCCCACCACAGGGCACGTCCCCCTGTCCCAAACTCACCCCAGCCGGGCTGTGTGTGCCCATCCTGTGTGCAAGCTGGTCCCACGGGCAGTGCTGACAGCAGGGGCTCTGCCAAGAAACGCTGAGGCAGCTCCTTAAAGCTCACCCTGGTGATCACCAGCACAGGAAAGGCTCGGATGTGTGACACAGCTGTGGCTGTGAGATGAGGGGAAGTGTGCACCGAGCTGTGCCTGCTGTCGCAGGAGCTCAGGAAACCAAAGCCTGTAGAAGGCAGAGGGGCTCGGGGGCTCTGTGGCACGAGGACCTCACCCAGCACTGGTCCCATCAATGCAAGCAGGTGATAGAGATAAAAACCAGGGGAGTGAAGATGTTCAGCCACCAGAGTCAGGCAGCAGCTCTGTTCCTTCGCTGCCCTGAGGAAGGCAGCACTTGGCTGGAGGTGTCTGCATGTGCAGTGCTTGGGTTCCAGCTAATCCAGCACTGTTGTCATCAAAGATGCATCTCCTTGGCTGCCTTGCCATCCTGTCAGAGAAAGTGAGCCCTGCTGAGGGCCACGGTGGTGCCCACAGGCAAGTGGCTAAAGTGGGTGAGATGAGACCTGTCACCTCCAGTTAGGTAAAATGAGTCCCACTAGCTCTTCTTGGACAAACTTGGAAAATAACAGGAATATTTCAATATGCAAGAAGCAGTCCCCAGGGATAATTTAAAATCATATCAATGTCTATTAGAGATAGGAGCTACCTGCAGATCCTCAGGTCACCATCACATTAAATGCCCCTGGCCATGAAGAAATGGGCTTTTAGAAGAAATCTTTGCTCCGAGTCCACACAGAATTGTCCTTCAAGGCAGACTTGTCCTCACTGCCAGCTGGTGAAGCTGTGCCAAGGTTTATGTCCCCACAGCACACACCTCTGGAGGAGAGCAGGTTCCTTCAATCAGGACTCAATTCTCCAAATTGTTTTGGTAGAAGATCAGATAAAACATGCCTTTGTTTGTTTGGTTTTTTTTGGTTTTGTTTGTTTGTTTGCTTGTTTTTTGTTGTTTTTGTTGTGGTGTTTTTTTTTTTTTTTTGTTTTTTGTTTTTTTTTTTAGTGGCAGCATATCTCTGCAGCTTTCTGGTCTTGCTCCACTTCTCTGTTGACCACTGGCTTCTCCAACTTCCCAGAGATTAAAAAGAGCAGGATAGATCATGAGAAGGAACTCTTGGTGGCAAAAGAATGTAACAGCACAGAGCTGCAGTAGCACAGTCTGTAGCTTCTGACTCTACTTCCAGCCTGGCAGCCACAGCAGTTTCCCAACACTGAGCATTTCTAGTGTCCTCAACCCTCAACATTAACCAGCCATGAGTCATGCTGTAAATAATGCTGAGATGTGGTTTAGAGCCCGAGTTTGTTTCTTTAGAGAATACATGCTAGTCTCCTTTATGTACACTCTGGTATTTAAGTTTTCCAACCTAAGATGACAAGAAACTTCTCCTTTTCAGGCCTCCTTCTCACATTGTCGTGCCCTTTTGGGGCCAAGGGTTATCAGGAAGTGAGTCAGGAGTCACCAGAAGTTCAGGAGGGCACAAGGTGCCTGCTTGGTGCACCAGCAGTGCTCAGCTGAAGCCACTCACAGGGCAATGCTCCCTGACTTTCCTAGAAACTGGGACCTCAGCTGCCTCCCAATCCCAGCTGCCCAGCCTTCCCCCAGCACATGCTGAGATGTTGATGTCCTCTCTGTGCTGTGGGAATCCAGGGCTTCCCTCTGGCTGCCCTGGCAGGTCTGGGACCCTGGCAGGGGTCAGGAACCCCCCTGGACAGAGCCCCCAGAGACACTGTCTGTGATCTCTGTCCATGGAGAGGTGTTTTCAATCTTACAGGATGAATTACAAGCTCTGAGTGTTTGATAAGAGTAATAATTAAGTGTGACACGGGTGCAAGAGTAAAATTTTAGGATTCTAGATTAGGGGTTCAGAGGGGACAAGATGGAGGAATTGGGTGTGTCTTGTCCTTTTCCTCCTTCTTCTTCATGCCCTCCATGTTTCACTGCGGTGTTGGCATTTTTCTATTGGTTTAGGCTGGGGACACACTGTCCAATGTAAGTGACAGATATTGGCACATTATTGTAAATACAGCACAGGTAGTTTCTGGTATTTAATGTTTGTAACATCCCACTGAGGGCAGAGCCCCACACGCTGCCCTGCAGGACAGACCTGCGGCAGGGCAGCAGAACATGTTAGAGATAAACAGAATAAACAACCTTGAAACCAGCACAGACGAATTATGGCTTCTTCTTTGGCAATAGGGCAGAAAGACAGAGACTTTCTACAATCTCGGAATCACCAATACCACAGATTCCGACACTGTGCCAGGGCTGGAGGTGCGCAAGGCTCCTGCCATGGATGGGGCACAGAAATACAGAGCTGTGAGCTGTGGAGCTGCTGCTGCCGGGCAGGCAGAGCTCTGGGTGTGCCAGCACGGGGTGGCTGCTGGGGCTGGGGGTGGGAGGGCTCATGATGGGGCAGGACATGGGCTCTTCCAGCTGTTTTACCTCCAGCCTGTAGGAAATGCAGAGTGGGGCTTGGCTGGCTGCAGTCACTGCACTGTGTGTGGGGTGCATGCTGATGGCACAGCTGCTGCCAGAAGCAAATGCTGTCTGTGCAGGTCTCTGGTGAGGCTGCCTGCTGCAGCAGCTCTCTGAGAGATGTTCCCTGCCTGCCTTCCTCCAGCTGCTGCTGCAGCCAGCTTCGGCAGCATCGCCTCATCAGCACCCTGGCTGCTGATTCAGTAGGCACCTACTGCCCCCCGCCCCCAAAAGGGGCTGCTGAGGTGCTCAAACCCACCTATCCCCAACCCACCAGCCCCCACCCACCTGCTGGGCACAGCAGAGGTTCCCAGGCCCTTCATTGGGAAGCTGCTCCTCTGAGGGACGTGGTTCTGCTGAGGACAAGAACCCTTCCCAGGGCTCAGTGGTCCTTCATGTCCCATCCCTCCAGCCCTTATATGTGCATATGGAAAAAGCAGCGAGGCACAGGGGAGCCCCAAAATCTCACAGAAATGTGAGATTTTGTGCTGCAGACCAGCCCCTCCTCGTTCCCCATGAGCAGGTTTAGTGCTGCTGTGTAAACCGAGCTGCAGGTCTGATCCCAGGGGAGCTGCCAGCTGCTCAGACACCAGTTTGTCCCCACATCCCACACACCCTCCTCGCCCTCTGCCTTCCCCCTTGCTGACAGCACGTGTGAGAATGACTCCTGGTACCTCTGATAAGGCTCTGGCAGATACTGGGGAAGAAAGAAGTGGGACTAGCACTTCCTCCTCCTCCCCTCTCAGTTTCTCTATGGCTGAAAGGTCAGTGGTCTTGCTGTGATCAGGGAGGTGGTGGCTTCCTGGTATTCCCATGGGAATCAGGGCTTCCAGAGCAAACATCAGCTGCCCCAGCACTGGTGAGGACCAAGCTGGTGCTGGTTCTGTCCCACAAGGTCTCCAGCAGCTTCGTCTCTGTGGTGGGGGCTGCAATGTGCCCGTCTGTGGCTTTGCAAATCTCTTTCCTTCTCTGCAGAACAACGTGGTGCAAAGCACTGAAATGCAAAGCTGGAGGGTTTATTACAGCAGGTGGTGGGGAAAAACTTAAAATCTAAAATTCAGCTAAAATCTGTGCTCTATGGGTCACCCCCTGCCCTCCAGCCTGCCCCCAGTACAGCCTGCTTACAGCCTGTTGAGACAGACAAATTTCCTGAGTTGCCAGCCTTAAGACTGAGGGAAAGCCAAACCAAAATAAACCTGATGTAGCTGGGTGCTTTAATTTTCAGGAAGAGCTGTGCAGCAGCAGGCTGGTTCCCAGCTGAATCTTTCTTGCTGTATCAAGCATAAATTCATCAGGTATTCCATTTCCTGGGGAAAAAAAGCAGAATAATTCACTTGGAAATAAAGAGTGGAGCTATTTTTCCCTCTGACATGGTGAATGCAATTACCTAAGGCATGGGAGGCTGAGATAACTCACTGATTCTGCCCCCACTCTCCAAAGAAACCATCATCATTCTTTCAGAAAGGCTTTAAACTCCAATTCACATCCTGAATGCTAAAACATCACCACATACAGAAGCTGTCCTTATGATTTCCATGCACCAGCTGCTGCATCACAAGGAAAACACACTCATAGACAGGCCAGAATTTATTACTGTCAAGGCCATATACAGAGTGCAAGCTCCCTGTGTTTGCTGACCCTTTTACTGATGCTCTTGGTGTCTCCTTGTCCATCAGGAGCAATTCCTAGTGAAGCAAAGCCCACTGACACCCTGTTAGTAGTGTGTGAGCCACACTGGGGCTGGGAAAACGTGCGTGGGGGTTGAGAGTCTCGAGCCTTGTCTGTCTGGAGAGCTGAGTGCAGGCAAGCCATAAGCCTGTGATTGCCCCTGATTTTAATTCCATTTAGGCAGCACTCTCCCACCTCTTCTGCCATTACATAATGGAGCAGAGTAATGACTTTGAGCAATACTGTTTGAGTGGCAGCAGTCCAATTCTGGACTGTATTTTTTTTTTAATGGTGGGGGGAGAGCAGGTTGGCAGAGGGGAGAAAGAATCTGTTTGGTTCATCTGCAATCCCTGTTTCACTCTGGGAGCTTTAGAGGACAGACACATTCCTCCATCTCTGCTAATCCTCCTCTGATACAGAGGATTTTCCTGCCATTAAATGATAGCTTGTGAGAAAAAAAATGCCAACTTTTCAGAGCCTGACTCTTATGGCTAAGGGCAGCCTCATGAGCAGGAGGGAGGACACAGCCACTGCCTGGCCAGGTAAGCAAGGCATCTGGATCATTTCTGTTGGGAATTTTGGTTTCCACTATTTGATGCTTAGCTGGTTACACTCCTCTGTACCAGCACCTATTTCCTGGGGATAGAGCCAGTCCCTTACTGTTGGTGATCCTTTCCCACCTCAGATGAGAGGAATCTGCCTTTGGCATGGCTTGTGGGAAGGATGCAGATGAACTCCTGAAAAGCAGTGGCACAAAGCTGCAGGATTCCCTGAGAAGGTCAGTGGAAAAGGAAAGATACTCACCAGGAAGGTGCTGGGGACTTCTTCAGTTTGAAAGTGTGTGAGAGAAGAGCTTTTCCTTCATATTCCTTTCTAAACATAGATATTTTTGTGGAAAAATGATGCAGGAAAATGACAGAGGATGAAACCCATCTCTATTCTTCCTGTGTGCTTTTAGATCCCTTAAGTTTGCTTGCCAGACCTGAAATGCCACTAGAGAATAATCAAGGTAATGTTTGTCATCATTCTAAATGGTGAGTATACTCTTATTCTGCATTATCCAGTAGTGGATTAGACAGATAATTTGGAAAGGTTGCAGTTACATATTCAATTATTTGCAATTATTGTCTCTTTACCTTTCTTAACACTCTGCAACCTTTCTTTTTTGTTTCTTTTTCTTTGGTCTCTCACTCTTTCTTCCAAATATTGAGTTACTGTTAAAAGAGTGAAAGATATCATCCATGGGAGGAAATTTTTTTATTCTTTATGTCACAAATGTTTTTGACCTTACTGCTCTATTTCACTCTTTTGCTCAAACACACATCTCATTTGAGTGCTCAAATGTGTCACCAACTGGCTGAAAGCTTCCAGCTGCTGCCCTTTTTTAGGGAAGGGGAAGGAGTGAGGTGGGAAAGATGGGAATGTTTCAGGCTATGTTGATCAGATGAGATCTTGCCAACAGGGAAGAGCTGATCTCTTTTGCCCTGAGTAGCAGCTCTCCTGAGGGTTTGGTACGGTTCATGTGGAGGATTTTTTCCAGCTTCCTTGAAAGAGGGGAAATTGCCCACAAAGGCTACATTGCTGAGGGTTTCTCTGAGCTCCTGTTGCTGGGGGGATATTTTCTCATTGGATGGTCCTCACACTCTTGCTTTCCACATCCCACGCATTGCAAAGAGGCACTTGTAAATAGAGATCTTAGAAGTCTGCTATGAAATGCCACTAGCAGAAAACCCAGATTTGGCACTTGTGTATAAGGAAAACAGGCTGGATATGGCTTGGGGGCAGATATTTCCTCTATTGATTGATTAGAGGAGGAGCAGGGAGGGGAAGGAGGGGATCTGGTTATCAGCAGGTTCATTCCCACACTGCCCACCGTGTGCACAGCAGTGGAGGGAGGTCTGCTCTGAAGGTTAGGGATGTGACTGAGCTTGGGCAGCTGGAGCTAAACATGGAGCTTGCTCTGCTCAGCCTCACCTGTAGGACAGCCTATGCACAAATGCCCCTCTGGATGTCACCCTGAACCCACACAGGGCTCCCTACCAGCAGCAACCCTTGCATCCATCATTTTCCAGACAACCACCTGCAGTCAGACATTTGGGAACAGGCAAATCCTTAATCTGTCTGGCCCTCAGTTTATGTAACTGCCTAACAAAAACAACATATGTCCCTGTTGGCATGCAGAGGGTGGTCTGGTGCAGAGGGGAGCAAAAGAGGCAGCCCCTGGGCAGGCTGCACAAAGAAAGAGCAATCTGGGACCAGCATATTGTTCCCCTTCTTGTCCTTAGACTCCAGCTGTTTTCAGGGGATTGAAGGGGACTTTCCTTTAGCTGTGGCTGTTAGATAAGGGCCTGGGAAAAAAGGGAAGAGCAGACAAACAAAATGACAACCTGTCTAAAATCCTTTCTACCTCCCAGAGTCCCTCACTATCATTTATCCTTGAAGTGATGTTGTTTTGCTAATTCTCCTGTCACAATAGTGTGCCCAGGCATGATGAGACCTGAATTTTGATGAAGAGGCCACAGCTCATCCTTTTGTGATGCTCTCTGTGTATTTGAATGCCTTTCCTACATGCAAGAGCCAGAATGGTTTGAACAGACCCAGGCTCCAGGGCAGCTCCTGGGCTGATGCCCTTCAGCAGGGACTTGCCCAACAACTGGTTTTGCAAGTCTCTTTTACACAGGCAGTGTAAACTCCTAAATACAGCCCCATGCATGTTGTCTTTAGAAAGGCAGAGCAATTGGAGCCACAACTGTTGTTTCTCCTGTAAATTAAAGCCTTAAGGACTGCAAAAATAAAACTTGATGCTTGCTGAAGGTGATACTTCTGGGCATATCACCTCAGAAGTCTGTCTTATTAAAAATGCCCATGGGAATACAGCTGTAGTGGGCAATCCCTGTGCTGCAAACCACAGGGAGAGGCAGCCCAGGTGCTGGGAGCTTCCCCCTCTGGACACTCAGCAGGAGTATGGAGGAAACTCCCCTGATCCCAGCAGTGCAGTAATAGAGGTGGATGTTGGTAAAGCTGTTGGTATCTCATGTTTTGCTGAAAGAAAAGAAGAAAAGCATTATGTCTGTATTGGAGCTAATAAATTGCAGCAGGAAGCCAGTCAGCAGGAAGAGCACCATTTCGTGCTTGTGACTACATGGAGATTGCTGGTGTGGCTGCTCATTTTGTGGAGGAGAAGGTAGCCTGTGTCTGGGAGAGCAATTAGGAAAACTGCCTTCAGTTCTTCCTCTCTAACAAGTTGATTTTAATGGAATTAGAGAAAGAGTTGTGCTGAAAGGTACTTAAAGACCAAGTACCTCTGATTCCAAGACCCCTGCCACAAGCAGGGACACCTTCCACTAGACCAGGTTGCTCAGAGCTTCATCCATCCTGGCCTTGAACACTTGCAGGATTGGGGCATCCACAGCTTCTCTGGGTACCCTGTGCCAGTGCCTCACCACCCTCACAGTAAAGAATTTTTTCCACATATCTAACCTAAATTTCCTCTCTTTCAGAGGAGAAAAGCATTTTGCATTAAAAAGAAAACAAACTTACTTTTCTGATTTTTTTGACTGAATGGTTTTTCCCCACAAAAACCCTGTCTGTGGAGGCTTATGTCTCCCAGTTCTTTTGCTCCTTTTCGTTCTTCTCTCATTTCTCCCAAGAGCCTTCTTCTCTTCCTTGTTGTTCACCCACCTCTGTGGGACTAACCTGGGAGGAAACAACAGCCTTGCACCTCCCATATCAGGCTGATAAGAGATGAAGTGGCAGCTCCCATCATAACATAACATAACATAACATAACATAACATAACATAACATAACATAACATAACCATAAAGCACCTTGGTGACTGTCCTGAGAACTGCCAAAGTAGCAAAAACTGTGCTGAAGATGCAGAGTTTCTCATCTATTATGAGATCATGAAGCCAGCAGTTGAACAATATCTCTTAGTTTGTTTTTACTCATGCTGTCATAGCAGTACACAGTGGGAAAGTGTTGTCAAAAACTGCATTTCATCTCCTTGAGAGCTGAGAGTTCCCGTTCCAGTGCTGCACCAGCTCATGGCCCTGGTGGAGAAACATCAGGTTGAAAGAATGAAAGAAAGAAGCAAAAAGTATGAATTTGACACACTTCAGGCAATTAATTGATCTCCCCTGCCCATTGCTAGACTCAGGATATACTGCCATCCCATTTTCCACACCCAGGGATGCTGTAACCCACCCACAGCTGCTGGCCTTCAATGCATTTCTGCCTGCTTACTGGCCAAACCATGTCCCCATTGGGCAGCAGAGAGAGCCCAACAGAGACACTTGAGAAATACTGAATTCTAGGTGAACCTGCTCTTGGGGAGAGGAATTAATCAGAGATTGTGTTCTAGGTGACATATATTCTCAGTAGGTTTAGAAAGCCCAGAAGATTTTTAGGAATTTTACACAAGAGGTCCTCAGTCAGCACTGAGGTTGCAATTAGCTTGGCTAGAGGGGAGGAAAAAGTGTAATTTATTTTTACTGCTCTGACTAATTAATTTGCTAACGATGCATTCTTTTCTCTCCTGCCTCACCTCTGTGGGGACGGCAGTGATCCTTTGGGTGCCACAGGTCCATGGGGTGTGGGCCTGCGTGCGCTCCTGCCCTCCCAGCTGCGTGTGCACCCCGGAGAGGAGCTGCTCCGTGCTCTGTGACCGGGCCGGGCTGGGGCAGATCCCCAGCGAGTTCCCCTGCGAAGCCTCTTCCATCAACCTGGATAAAAACAGCATCAAGTTCCTGTCTGAGAGGGCCTTCGGGACGCTGCCTTCCCTCAAGTCCCTGTCACTCAACCACAACAACATCTCCTTCATCACGCCGGGGGCGTTCAAGGGGCTGCCCAGCCTGACGGAGCTGAAGATGGCCCACAACGAGTACATTCGCTATCTGCACACTCGGACCTTCACCGCGCTCCGGCGCCTGGTGAGGCTGGACCTGGCCGACTGCAACCTCTTCAACATCCCAGACAGGATCTTCATCGAGCTGCCTGCTCTGCAGGAGCTCTTCTGCTTCCAGAACAACTTCCGAAGGATCCCAGGCGCCATCAGGGGCATGGAGAACTTGACCCATGTGTACCTGGAGAGAAACAGGATCGAAGCAGTGGCCTATAACTCCCTGCAGGGCCTGACCAAGCTGAAATACCTGAATCTGCAGGACAACAAGATAAATGTCATCCACGAGAGAGCTTTTCAGGGCTGCCAGAGGATGGAGTACCTGTACCTGAATGACAACTTGATCAGCGAGCTTCCAGAAAACTCCTTTGATGGCCTGAGGCGCCTGAAGATGCTCAACCTTGGGGGGAATTTTCTCAGGAACATTTCCAACACCTGGTTCCGGGATTTGGGGGAGCTGGAGTTCCTCTACCTGGACCGCAACAGGATCAGCTACATCGAGGAGGGGGCTTTTGAGAACCTCACCAGCCTGGTGGCTCTGCACTTGAACAGCAACAACCTGACGACGCTGCCCTTCTCCGTGTTCGAGCCCGTGTATTTCCTGGGCCGCCTGTACCTCTTCCGCAACCCCTGGGAGTGCGACTGCCGCATCGAGTGGCTCAAGGAGTGGATGGAGAACTACAGGCTGGTCAGGGATATTCCGTGTGCCTCCCCCTCCTCGGTGGCGGGGATTGATCTGATGGACGTGCTCTTCGAGAGGTCTCCCGAGGGTTACTGTCTCGACCCGGAGGAGCTGAACATCACGGCCGAGCGGCCGACCCCAAGCGAGGAGCCTTGGTCCACCACAGAGAGCAAGTTCAACAGCCTTATCTCCAAACTCTTGCTCCAGATGGGCCTTCCTGAAGAGGTGGCAAATGCCACTGAAGTGTACAGTAACAGCACACAACCAGATGGACAGACTGAAGGGGTTTCTTCTGGCATGGGGGGAGACAGGACCGAGGCTGACTCCTCTTCCTTGTACTTCCCAGCACTTCTGACAGCGATTGTTCTGCTGTGCAAATAGTCCAAGGGCTGGATGGAGCAGGGTTTCTGCTTAAGGGCTTAGACCCTGCACCTACTTAGTCATCAGAGAAAAGCTTTATCGTGGGCCTCTGATACTTAACAAGCTCCAAACTCTTCCAGGTTGGGTTTGTTGTATCTGGCTCCAGATTCCCCTGCGAGCTGGTGAGATCTAGGTCCTGCTCTGGGTGACAAACCTGCCCTGTGGGTGTCCCAGAGCCTCCTGGGTACTCACAGGGAGATGAGCAGCACTAAGATTGAGTTTTGCCTAGAGATGTGTGATGCTCTGCTGGGAAAGGAGGGAAGAGGGGTCTGTCTGTGGGGTGTTTGTTCCATCGGGCCAGCTTGTGAGAGCAAGATGTTCCATGGTGACTCAGCTTCATGAGAGCAAGATGGTGCTCAAAACTGGGCCCCTCTTCATGTCCTGACAGACACCCACACCCATGGCAGATGCTGCTGAACAATGGGAAACTGTTCCTCATTTCCTCAGTGGGTGCAGGAGGGAGCAGGGCAGTTCTGGGCAACATCCAGGGATGCAGCAGGAAACATGCATAGGTCTCAATGAAAACATCCAGAAACACGTATAGGCCTCAATGAAAACATCCAGAAGCATGCATAGGCCTCAATGAAAACACCCAGAAACATGTATAGGCCTCAATGAAAACATCCAGAAACATGTATAGGCTTCATGGAAATGAGGAAAGTGCCTGGGGGGACACCTGCCCCAGGCAGATCTGGGATGGGCACAGTATTTTGGCTGTGACCACAGGTAGGATTTTGATCCTCTCTCCCCCACCATTATTCTGGTACTGGTGAGGAGAACCAGATGGACCTGTGTTTGTCCAAACATTCTTCTCTGAGGCAAAGCTTCTTAAATTAACCTGCTTATTCCCGTAATTTCAATGTGTTTAATTTTTCAGTGAATATATTGTTTCAAGGAATACAATTTTCATTTGTAGATTGTTTCATGGCATGGCAGCAGGGGCAGAGCATGGTGATGGCAAATAGAACCAGGTCCCATGAAATATTTTGCATTTCCACCACTAATATGTACTATGTAGTGTGTCATATTATGCCATATTGATAATTTTCTTTTATACGGCATCTTAAGTGTTTTATCTTTGAACTCATCAATAAAAGCTGCTAATATGACCAGAAAAAATGATGTTTTATGTATCAAAGCACATTAATAAAATAATTTGATGCTTTACTCACAAAAATCAATTAACTACTCAAACCTAGGTTTTGGTTTTTTTCTAGAGATCCTTGAACAACTCTGGTGATTTTTTTCTTGTAGGCTACTCAAATAGTACACGAGTCTCCCTTCATGGCCTAGAGCAAATGGCAAGCTATTTATTGCAACATAAGTACTTTCACTTAGAAGCTGAATGTGCTTATGTTTGTGTTAAGCAGCAACACTTGAAAATGTAAGTGACTAAATAGATACACTTCTGTCCAAAAAGATCTGCTGCTTACTAATTAGTGCCAGAGATTTCCAGAGGAAAGCTGAGTACAGGGAAAACCAAGCCTTCCCTGCTGCAATGGCTTCTCAGTTATCTGTAGCTCGACCACAGTTTCCCCAGGGAATCAAAATGCCAGATGGTTTGATAAATGCCTATTTGACCTGTTCCGTGAACTAAATTCAATGAGTTTGGATTTCCAGGCTATTTATGAATCCATTAATCTTCTTAAGTGCTAAATTCATCTGAGTATTAAAAGAGGCTGTTTTTCAAACCTAGTCCAGCCCGGTGCTGTAGAGACATATTAGGTTAAGGATGCCTTTACAGGAGCACTGTTTCATCCTGTCAGGGGAGGTTTATCAGTCGGCCTGGCACAGATGGTAGGACACAAATGGTTGTACTTCACTTCATGCCTCAGGAGTGAATTGTTTTTATAACCCACATATTCATTTTCCATGCTGGGGCACATTAAAGCTGAAGATCGCCTTACTGTGCAATTGCTGAGTGGCTTTCAAGTCAATCAGTGCTTCAAAGATGCTCCTGCTTTATCTGCAAGATGCAGATCTGAACGTGAAGCATCCTGAAATGTTGGTTTTAGCAGAGATTGTGCTGTCAGGTGATGGGCAAGAGGGCTGTGCATTGTCCTCAGCTGTGTGACAGCAGGGACACTGACCTTGGGGTCGATGGTTTAAGTGTCCCTTGGGCTCAAACACTGCCTGGCCCAGAGATTTCCCTGTTCTGCTCCGACACAGCCGTGGCTGACGCCGTGCTGGGTGTGAAATCTTCATCTTCCCTGCAGGAACCAGGACAGACTCTGGGCTCTCCTGCTCTGCAATCCTGCTCTTCCCTCCCAGCTGAGAGATCAGCAGAGCGTTTCCAGTGGCACAGAGCAGCTGGCACACGGCACTCTGAGTGGATTGGGAAAGGTCTGTGAGCCTGTGATCGCTTTTCTCCTCTACTCTATCTTGCTCATTCCTCAAGGAGACACCAGAACTGCTTTGTTCTTTCATGATTCTTGTTTCTAAACTCTTAGCAAATGGCTTGTTTCTCTGATTACATGGGCAGGAGACAACTCATAATTACATTTTTTAAAAAGAAATAATTTGGCTTTTTCTTTATTTTCTTAGACCACACTCTTGCTGCAAAATCGTGCTTCAGCTGGAAAACCTGAACCAGTTGTTGGTTACAAGTCCATGGCTCAGAGTCCCTTCACAAATCTATGCTATTTTCAAATTTTTTCTCTGGACTGTGACACCTCCAAAGATGCCAACCTTTGTCTGTTTGGAATAACTGCAAGTATTTTTCAGCAAAGTAGTGCTCCCAGCCCTGCCCTCAGCATGAGGTGCTGAGATTTTGTTTGAAGCAGTGGGAAGGGATGGTCATGAGCTGCCTGGAGTTAGGATACACCTTCTGACTGAAGTTTATTCAGGCACCTGAGGTCCTGGGAGAAGGCAATTTGTTTTAATTGTGGTACCTGGTGACACTGCACTGCTCTTCTCTGGTGCAACTGGTTTTCATGCTGTACAAGAGTTGCTGCTGGAGCAGAGGGGAGAAGTTGCCAATGTAAATAGAGGAAAAAAACAAACTGAATTTGGATATAACCTCTGAGTCACAGAATTCTGCTGCTATGTTGCCCCCCTAGGATCATACTCATTGTTTTAACATGAGCACCTTTCTGTCCCCTCTGTTTTCTTTACATTTGCAGCTATTGCCAGTAACCCCCTGTGAAATGAAGATATTGGCTGTTTTGCTTCTCTTGTGGATTATCATATTTTTTCTGCTTTGGAAAGAAACACGACGTACAGGACTTGAAGAATCGTTGTCCTTTGCTAGAGAAGCAGCAGCTGCTGTCAAGGGTGTTGTATTTTGGCTGATTCTTATCTTCACAACATCTGGCTGATAGCTTTACAAAAAAATTTTCCTTTGATAATTTTTGTCACAAATTCACAAATTCAAGAGGAGCCAAATCAAGAGTTAAATTCCAGAAAACTGGTGTGACTGCTCTGGAGGATGTTAAGCCTTGCAAGAAAATAGCCTGTCATGGTCACTCCTGCTCCAGTGTGAACTTCAGAAGACAAGGCTAGTTTGGGTGAGAAAACAGTGCTTGTAAATGCTTGTAAATGCAGAATTCAGGTATGGGATTGTTGCAGAATCACTAAAAATACCGATCCTTCCTCTTCCCCCACCCAAACCTGATAGAGATCGGTGGAGTTTGAAGGATCTGCTGCAAGAACTTTCAAAGCAGTTTTAAAAGAACTTTAAAGAAAATGCTAACCATGGAATAAAGACCAGAAATTATGATTTTAAAAAAAGGTATTACCTCAAAGAAAAACATATAGCTCCTATTTAAAACATAAACCTAAACATGTGCAAGATAGACACCAAAGTTCCATTTCTCATGGGGCAAGGCTGGTATTCTTCTCAACTTTGACCTTCACCACATCCCTTGATTTTTGTTGTACTTCCTTCTTCATCTGTCTTTTAAAGGACTGTTTGAGAGTTAATTGTTAACTTGCACATCATAAATCTTATAGTCTCAATGAAAAATACCGAGGCATTTCAAAAAGACCTAAAACTACCTTTAGTTTTCCTGTACACACCTGATGGTTTACTCTTCATGCATATTCTATGTATTTGCCATTTGGATTAACAGCTGATTTCACTTTGTGCTTGTTCAGTGGGTTTTGACCTGTGTCAGGAGCTTCTTGACATGGCTGGAGGTTTGCAATGAGGCTTAAGGCATCCTTGTTCTGCCTCCCCTGGTATTCCACACCCTCTTTCCACTCCTCCTCTCCTCACCCACTTGTTTCTGCTCCAAGCCTGGACTTGCCTGTGCCTTCACTGTGCTGCTCCAGCAGGGCCAGCTGTGATTGAAACTGGATCACTGCAATAGCCCAGGTAAAACAACATTCAACCCTTCCCTCTTTTTTTTTGATGTTTAGGTTCCCTATTATTTCCCCTAATATTTTGTAAGTCAGGTTGGGCCATAAGTGGCTTAAACTGGGGATAATTGGAATAAAATGCTACTGTGGTATCTGAGAGGGGGACAAGATAAATGGGAAAGATGGTGCTCAATTGCTGCTCAATTTGCTTAGACTCAGGGCAGACCCACAGGCACAAGGATATTGGGAAGAGGCCTAGGGAGTTCTTGGGCTTTGTGGGGGCAGATCAGGGGACAAGCAAGGAAGCACCGAGTCCCTGGTGAGATGAGGATGTGCTGGACTCACAACAAACTGTGCCATGCAGCCAGAAGTAAAAATATGTGTAAAAATAGAAGTGGTTTTACTTCTGGGCTTTTGATGATGAGAACAAGGCTGAGTGCACAGTGCCAGGGTGGGCAAATGTGATAAATCAGTAACAAAGGACAACCAGCTGTGCCCATGTCAATTGGGATGGAATTGGCAGCAGCAATTCCTCGCAGTGCTGAATGATTGTGTCTCAGTGTGCTGTGACAATAAGAAATACATCAGACTCTAAGTGGACAGGCACTTCCCTGATGTTATGAGACTGGTAAAGAGCCAGAGGGCAAAGCACAGAAATAAATGATAAACTTGCAATAAGACAAAGCTGGTTCTACAAAGATCCTTATGTCTCTGTTGAAAGCATCTGTGAGCAAGCCAGATATGCAATGCTGCATGGATCATGGGCAATGTAAATGACCACAAATTCTAGGGATGGGTGAGACATGTCTGCTCTGTGCCACAGGGCACAATGACCTTCACCAGAGGATCCCCTGAGGATGTGAAGTTGATTTTGATTCATAGAGCTTTTCTATTTCCCTAAGAGTAGAGTTGGGTTTCTGTGTTCTTGGCTCAGACCTTGCCTGTCTGTGGTGGCTCCTCCAGTGCTGCTGCCAACCTTCATGACCAAATCTCAGCTGCAGGTCTGTGACATCCGAGAGCCAGCTCAGGACACCCCTTGGCCTAAGGTTAACAGAGCACAGGAGGCATTTATGCCAACACAAAGCAATAAAAATCATCATGTAGCTCTCAAGGATACAGAACCTACCTTTTTGAGAGGAACATTGTTTCATTAAATCGCTAAAACATGAAGAATCACTGAATCATAGAATGGTTTGGATTAGAAGGGATCTTAGAAATCACCTAATTCCTGCCATGGGCAGAGACATCTTCCACTAGGTCAGGTTGCTCAAACTCCCAACCAATCTGGCCCTGAACATTTCCAGGGATGGGGCATTCACAATTTCCTTGGGCAACCTGTGCCCGTGCCTCACCACCCTCATAATAAAGAATTCCTTCCTTATACCTAATCTTAGTCTTCCCTCTTTCAATTTAAAGCCATCCCCCCTTGTCCTATCACCATATTCTCTTATAAAAAGTCCCACCCCATCTTTCTTGTAGGTCCCATTTACATACTGGAAGGCTATGGTGAGGTCTCCCCTTTAAAAAAATAAAAAGTGTCTGTCAGAAAGAGCTTGTAAGAGAAGAGACAAACAGACAGGAGGCAGATCCAGGTCAGCAGGAGAAGGAGAGTTGCAACTGGTGTCACACTGGAGAACATGGTTTAGAAAAACAATGCCCCAAATCTGTGAACTGGAAATAAATAAACAAACAACCCCCCAAAACCCCCAAAACCAGAAAACCCACCAACAAACAAACAAGCAAGCAAACAAACAAACAAACAAACATCCCACAGACTGCAAGGACCTGGATTTTAAGGTCTGTGGGCAGCTTCCTTGGCTCAGTGAAGTGCTCCTGGTGAGCATCTATGCTCCCATCTTCCAGCCCTGGGAATTTCTCATCT